AAGGTACAAATAGAAAGTGGCCTGGAGATGGCTCTTCATGTTCTCCTTCAGTTCATCTCGCTGGGAAAGTAGGCATAAATATCAGAGCCAATTAGTTAAAGGTTGCCAGGTAATGGAAACTAGACTAGGTACCAGGAGTCCTTGTGGTGTTGTGGTTAAAGCGCTAGGCTGCTAACCAAAAGGTTGGCGGTTCAAACCCACCAGCCACTCCATGTGAGAAAGATGTGGCAGTCAGCTTCCATAAATATTTACAGCCTTGGAAACCCTATGCGGCAGCACTACCCCGTTCTGTAGGGTCACTATGAGTTGGAATTGATTCAATGGCAGTGGGGTTGGTTTTTGGTTATACAGGAAGAGCATCCAATTAAAACATCTGAGAAGGTTCACCAACACCAATACACACATGATCAGGAAAAATGCGCTTCACAAATTGATCTCCAATTTTGTCAACTCTCAGGGATCATTTATGGGACCTCTGGGTAGCATTTGACACAACAGGTCCCTCCCTCCTCAAAACATGACCTTGACTTGGCTTCTAGGGTGCCAGAGCCTTGGTTCTTCTTCTGCCTATTGGACACTTTTCTGCATCTCTGATGTCTAATGCTGGAGGACCCGAGGTCACTGGACATCTTCTCTGTTCTAATTAGTCAGGGACTAGGTGTTGTCCTCCTTAAATGCCATCTATACTTTGAGGATTGAACATTTATATCTCCAGCCTGGACTTCTCGAACTCCAGACTTGCATAGCTGGCTGCCTACTCAACACTTCTTGGGTATCTAATAGACTGTTCAGTCTTACCTTGTTTAAAAACCAAACTCCAGATGTGCTCTACCCACAGGCGTCTCCATTTATGAAAACAGCAATTCCATTTTTCCAGCTCCTCAGGCCAGTACCTTGGAGTTATCTTTGACCCTTCCTTTTCTCTCATGTCACATCCAATCTAACATCAAATTCTGTCAGCTTCAACTTCAAGATATCTACTACATAATCTGCCCACTGCTCACTACTTTCCCTGCACTAACTCTGTTAAATAAACCTCATCATTTGTCTGGACAATTTCTATAGACACCTAACTGGTCTTCCTGCTACACCTTTGCCCTTCTGAATTCCATTCTTCACACGGCCATCGGTAGGCCTTTTAAAAACAATCACTTCCCTTCAAGTAGACCCTGACTCATGACAACCTTGTATGTGTCAAGAGTAGAACTGTGCTCTAGAAGGTTTCCAATGGCTAATTTCCCAGGCCTTTCTTCAGAGGCACCTCTGGGTGGATTCAAACCTCCAACCTTTAGATTAGCAGCCAAGCATGTTAACAATTTGCACCACCCAAGGACTCCTTTAAAATGTAAGCCAGTTCATTTCACTCCTTTGCTCAAACCCTCCAATGTCTTCCTATCCCATTCAGAGTAAGAGCTTACTCTTTCTTCTGCTAGCCAAGTGAATTTAGAGGCTAATCACCATAATTCATTCAAAAATTAGTTGATTTTAGGCTGGACTGGAGTTTTAAGATTTAATCTCTCTCTCGTTTTCCCTGTCTCTAGCCCAGTCAGAGACCTCCATTGCTCACAACTAAGAACGTGGTGTAGTCACTGGGTCCCTTCACCCTAGTAGGTCTTTGCTTTTTCAGCACCAGGTGGCTACAGAATTTACCACTCCACTTCTCAGAGTCTGTGGCTTAGTTCTTTAGCCTCTACTCAACACCTCCACTTGGATATCTAATAGATCGTTCAACCTTACCTTCTTTAAAAACCAAACTCCAAATGTGTTTGCCCGGCATATAGCTAAAGTCTGGTAATAGTCTGCTGACCTGTGCCTTCCTTCCCCACAACTCCTTCCACTCACCCCCTCATCTCACTCCAGCCACATGGTTGCTTCTTGAACACACCCAATAGCCTCCTGCCTCAAGAATTTTACTTTTGCTGTTCCCTATACCTGGAATGCTTTTCCCTCAAACACCTGTATGGTTTGCTCCCTCATTCCTTCAGGCTGTGGCTCAGAGGCTGTCCCTGATGACCCATATAAAAAAGCACCATGAAACCTCCATTTTCAGCACTCCTGGATCCTCTTTACCTGTATTATTTGTTCTCCATTGCCTCTATCACCACTTGCGTGTATATTTTCATGTCTATCTTTATGGTTATCTCCTCCAACTAGAAATATAATCCCCATCAGAGCCAAGTCTTTGTATTTATTCACTGCTGTGTCTATGATACCTAAGACAGTGCCTGGCACATAGGTTTGAATGAAAATATCTGTTGAATGACTGAATCTTCCCTTGTTCCTAGATAAAGTAGTAAACACCTATAAGGTTATAAAAAGGTACTATAGAACCACGATCTTAGAAGAAAATAGCTTCGAAAATTGTACCAACAAGTTTTTATCACTAAGCAAAATAATGAGAGAAACAGGAGAAAAAAGCCCTAAGAACAGAGCAGACTGAGTAGAAAGATCAATAGATTAAAATTAAAAGATTAAAGGCTTAGATGAAAACTGATAACGGTCAGAGAAGATGTTGCATAAGAAAATTGATAAAGTATGAAGTAAGAATTAAAGTCCCCACTGGAGGCATTAACAAGCAGTATTAACCAGGCAGAAATTGAAGCAGAGATTTATTTATTCATTCATCAACCAATGCATATTGAGAGTTGCTACATGCTATGCAGAGAATAAGGCAGCAGAAATTCAGTTTGGTGAACATGCAATGAGATGGACAAGCCCCTGGGCAATGTGGGGATCTAAACTGCATCATTTTTCTGGAATCCAATTTGGCAATACAGTCATGCACCACATAACGTCCGTTCAGGCAATGTCTGACTGCATATAACGTCCATGGTCCCATAAGGTTAACGGAGTTCAGTAATGCTGATCGGAGAATGGGACATAGTGGACCTAAACAGACGTAGCAAACTCAACAGCTTCTGGCACACAACACATATATCTCATGTCTCTTGTATACAAAGCAATTGCGCTGCTAGGCATATAATGGTACAGTACATATATAACCATTTATATGTCTTGATAATAATAAACACCTATGTTACTGGCTTATGTATGTACTGTACTTTCTATCATTATTTTAATGTGAACTTTCCCTACTTAAAAATAAGTTTACAGTATAACAGTGTATGCTTTGACTCATACAGCAACATCCAATCTCATGTATCGCACGTCCCTTGAGTGTTGTAGTGTTATCTGTTTACTTTTCTTTTGAAAATATCACTGTGAAGTACATCATGGCTCCCAAATTCAGCAAAACCAGCGCTAGTGATAGCAGCAGCAAGAGGCAAACAAGAAGTATTGATTTGGAAGTGAAACAAAAGGTTATTAAACAATGCAAAGGTGGAAAAACAATGAGTGCTATTGCTTGTGATTTAGGCATATTCGCACAACGTCCAAATCACGTAACGTCCTATTTCGTAGAATGTATCGTGGATATTAAGCAACACATGACTCTACGTAACACAAGAGTCTTAAAATGCATAACATCCAAGCCAGCAATCTCACGTCTATGAATCTAATATAAAGACATAGTCAGAGATATGATCAGAGAGTCCATTACAGAATTTTAGAAAGAACTGAAATGTACATAATAGAATTATCAACTAAATATTAGTAGTGCCAAACAACAGAGCATTATTCAGCTATTAATAAAGACATATATAAACGTTTTTAAGAGCATGAGAAAATTCAAAATCTAACATTAAAAAAGGAGAATAAATAACTGTATGTAAAATGAGTCCAAATCAGAGCTCTTGTCTTTGGAATTGGGATTGAGAATTATTCTCTAAGCTTTGAGGTGTTTGATAAAGGTTCTTCAATAAACACGTATTACTTTAATAATAAGAAATAAAGAATAAGAACTAAAAACAAAAATTGGAACTAAATTATTAATTTTCTCTCATATAAAAGCCTCTTAATTACATACTTCCAATACAGTTCTTATTTCCTAGAATCATCCACCCATTGATTATTTTGAAGAATACAAGCAAGTTTATATTTTTGCTCCAATCATGCTAAAGTTTTGTATTCTTTCATTCCCAGTCCAGATTTCTGAAACACACTAAGGTATACTTTGCTCTACAGATTTTCTAAATTCACTGTTATTTTCTTCTTTTATCACTAGGGTCGAAAAATGAGTAAGGATTTTATGCAAAAGATGCAACAATCTACCACTCACATCACCTCTTACCATAAAAACACACCGTCTTCAGAAACACAACTTTTGACCAAAAATAAAAATAAAGCGAAGTTCTTCATTAAAATTTTTCAGTAAAAACAACATTAAGATTGTGGTGATAGTTTCACATATGTCAAAACTTGTCAAATTGTATACTTTATGTATGTGCAGTTTATTTTATGTCAATTACTCCTTTAAAAAGCTTTAAATAAAACACAAAATTAAGAAAGGCTATATAATTAAGTATGATCAGGAGACATGAAAGGTATATATACACACACAAAGAAAATACTCTTTAAATGCATCAACAATTTTATTTACAAATGTAGTTGAACAGAGAGGCTCACTAGTTTATGAAGAAAACCTTGTATACAAACGATGGTTATTTTTTGTTAATGAAAAAAAGGTGCTTTCTACTGACAATTGCTTAGCAACAATTTTGGTGAAGAAAATATAGCTCCCCTCATCAAGCCAATAAAATGTTACATAAGCTAATTTTTTTTTAATTGTAATATTACATAGGTGGAAAAAAAAGAATACAGAAAGCAAAACTGGGAGTAGATTTCAATGAAATTTTCCATATGGTTCTGCATTAATTTAGTATACATTAAAATAAAGCAAATGCAATTACATATTTATATTAACTATCTCCAATAATGCTTAAGAACCTTTAAAAAACAATAAAATACCCTCTTCAAAACACCACAAGAAAATCAAACTAGATCATTATCGGCCTCAAAAATATTCGGAAATTCTTATTTTTTTCCCTTGTGCTTTTAATATGCTGAATTCAAAAAAGTAAATACTGCACTTTTCCCCCAGACATAATTACCTTCTTATAAATAAACAACAACAAAAATATAGGTCGTATCAGGAATACAATGCTTCTATGGAATCTAAAGAGGCAAAAAAAGGGGGATTATTGTTTTTAAAAACGAGAGCAAAAAGACATTCAACATATATTTATAGATCTACATCAGCAGCAACCACCTCTTCTTCTATCTGCAACAGTGTTTTCGTATGGAGGTTTGCATCACATGGCGGTTGGCTGTCCAGCTGATCAGGCAAGGAGAGAAGAAAGAAAAGCGCTTAGATTCAATAACACTTGAATATCGTCACCTGGGATACAAAGCAGTCATCACTCAGAAAACGGCCCAGTGAGACGGAAAGAGTAACCTTGTCACTCACTCTCAGGACAAAGCTAGGCAAATTCACAGCCTCTGGGCTCTAGAAGTCTTTATTTGCACAAAAAAAAAATAAAATAAAAATAAAAAAAAAAATTGAGTAAAAATTAATTGCTGATATAGAAATAAATGACACTCAACTCTCTATTATTTGCATTGGAGGAGAGTAAAGGCATGGGCAGTTTTTCAGCGATGATTCCAAAAATCAATTATATTTGGCTTTGGAATTTGATTAAAGAGAGAAAAGGGCACACACATACACACACTCCCCCAATATGCCCAGCCTTGACATTCTCCAACCTCAATGTCAGCACCCAGGAAAGAACTGGACAGCTTGGGTAAAAAGGCTTAGAACCCACGGACAGATAAAAGAGAGTTGACTGGGCTTAAATCATTTACAAAAGCACTCTCCACATAAAGGGCCGTATAAATACCTCAGAGTTCAAAACCAAATTGTTTTGCTGATACCACTTGTAATACCCTTTCACAACGAGGAAGAAACACATGTTACCAACATCAAGGTTCAAAATATAAACAGCAAGAATGGTTTCTTTATGTAGCTATAAACAATATGCAATCTCATTACACTGTCCTATGTTTTAAACAACACTTACAAATAAAACATGCACAGACACAAAGCAGCATTTGAAGTTTTTGAAAAACTCGATTTTTCCAAAAATAAAACTGAAACATCATATAATTAGAATTAATGTGCTCCTTTTAAAAAATATCATATATATATTAACATGTGGTTATATATTATAAAAAAGCATTAACTGACTGTTTATTCTTTATTACTTTTTTAAAGGATATTTTTTAAAGTTGGTCATTTTCTAAATCACATAATAAAAGCCCATTTGTTAAACTGTAGAACCAAGCTGAAGGTGGTGAAGACATACCAACCCTTTGCCAACACACATTAATTACAGTCTACATGAAGATTCACTTGAGCTGTCCTGGGTGTTTGTCTGTCTGTACTGCAGTCATTAGCAGGTTCTCCAGACCCTGGGCAGATGGCACAGGAACCTGTCCTGGCTCTCAGGCACTCGTCCCCTCACCATTCCTTGGCCCCACAACCCACCCCTTTTTGGCTGGAATCCTGAGCAGTGACCCACTCACCATACACCTTTTCCAAGGGGACAGACTAACACTACTCAAAAGTGGGATTCTAAGGCAGGGAGGTTGATGGGGAGCTGGCTGCAGTGTCAGGGAGATGCGGGGGCACCCGCGTTCTCCTTAAAAGAGAAGAAATTTTCTCTCTGATTTGCTCTCTTACATTTGAATCTGAGATAGCAGTCGTTGCAGTACAGTTGGTTGTTTCGGATTCTGACTTCGGCTCCTGAGGAAGAGCCGCCAAGGTCACTTTCACAGGCCATGCACTAGGGAGAGGGGTAAGAAAAAAAACATCCACGATCAGTCAGGGCAGCAAAGCTTGAGCCAGTCCTGGGAGGGTAAGGAAGAGCAGAATGCAGCTTTTAAGCTCCTAGGTACATTGCAGCGAGAGCAAAGAAAAAAAAAGGCCTAAAGATAATTAGTAGATAAAAATGAAGCCTGCCAGATGAGACATTATTTAAAGAATTCATAAGCCAATTTCAAGAGCCAAGATGATCAGGCTAAATATATCTAACAGCAGAAATGATTCAGTGACTAGCTTAAGGAAATTTAGTCTTCACTGCCCCTCAGGAGAATGAAAGAGGGTGAGGCACCACATGGAAGAACCAGCTGAGGTGAATGAAGACTCGGACTCTGGCTCCCCACACTGGGACGGCCCCTCCTGGTGTCCCTGCTGCAATGGCTTGGCAGGTGTCCCCACACAGCACCTTCACTTCAAGGCTGGGTATTTTGGTTCCACGTGCTCAAACACTAATTATTTTGACTCATCCTGCTCTGCCTAGGAACAAACCAAGCCAGCAATGTACAAGCTGAAACAAGCTGTAGTCAGCGGGACTCCGGGATCAACAATGAAAATCCTTCTCTGGCCCAATGCAAGTTCAAGAATCACACAGATGTGTCTCTAGAGACAGATGCTACAAAACAAAGCAGTCACAGCCTTCGCTCTTTCTTAAGTGCAAAAACTCATCAAATGTGTAAGTAGCCTGTGCAATTTTAAACATATTTGCAATAGTTTTCCTCATATACTCTCCCTAGTCAAAGTTATGCTTTCAAACACTGTTATAATTGCATGTCCCCATGCTGTTAATGGTGCCCTGGTGGAGCAGTGGTTAAGAGCTCGGCTGCTAACCAAAAGGTCAGCAGTTCAAATCTACCAGCCGCTCCATGGAAACCCTATGGGGAAATTCTACTCTGTCCTATAGGATCACTATGAGTCAGAATCAACTCAATGGCAATGGGTTTGCTTTTTTGGTTTTATGATGTTAATAACACCGGTACATTATATCTGACATATGCCTATGGCAGCATGTTAGAGAAGACATTTATGCACTCTAACAAATCAGAGCTAGGAAGAGCACAGTATTTCTAGATTAACTATTTAAAACTAGGGTCAAGATTTGAGAACTAAGTAATAGCAGCAATTCACGATTCAAAGCGCAGATGCGAGGAGCACCAAGCTCATTAGTGCATGCCCACACCCAGAGCTCAAAGAAGCCATGCGCTCTCCAAGCAAAGCTTTTCGGACCTGCAGGCCGTTGATCTCCATCTCACCTTAAAACAATGTAAATGGTAACAAAGACCCAGGGACTCGATGATCATGGCAGCTCCTTTGCCCAATATGTTATTGCAGTAGGAGCACACGCGCTTCCCACTGACTGACCTAGACACAGAACAAGAAGGGAATGGAGGCTCTCACCTGTACAGTGCAAGGTTGTTATTGAAAACAGCACTCGGGTATTAACATTCAGGATAATTTCAGAAAGGTGCTATGTATCGGGGGAGAAAAACTTTCACAAGCCAACCAAAGCTTGCCTTGAGTATACTGTAACCTTAAAGGATCTCCAGGGTAGTTCTGAGACCTCTGCCACCTATTCACATAATGCACCAGTTTCTGTCATCGCTGTGCTCAGTAGCTGTGTCTGCCCACCAACCGCTCCCCCTCCTCTAATCCATCCTACATCTTCTTGCCAGTCTAACCTGTTAAGCCAACACTAACCATGTCATTCAAAGAACAGCCCAACTTCCTTTGTGACGTGTTGAAAGTCCTCTATCACCTACCCCCTCAACCTTATTTTCATCCTCTTTCTTATTCACTCAGTGTTCTAGTTAAAACAGAGGTGTCAAAGCTTTCCTGACTCTCAGCCTCTGGCTGAAAAGATTGCCTCTGTCAAGAGAATGAAAAGAAAATTGCCTCATGGCTACCATCTAGATAGATAAGAAGGGTTTCTAATTTATTCTGGATGCAGGTCTTATCTCCTCTCCCAGGTGATAAGGTGAAGGCCACTTCCTACTTTTGCATCCCCACAGTATACCATACTGCTGTAGTCACATTGAACAGTGAGCTATAGCAGCTGAGAGCGTGATTTTAGAGGGCCACCTCCTAAACAGAGATCTTCTCAGGGCAGAAAAGCCCATAGCCTGTGCCCCATCTGCTCTCCTATAGCGAGGCTCTCAGTAAGCAAGTGGGTAATCTCTCCTCTGCCTTCCCTCCACCCCAAGGCCCTCCTCATCTCCCCTCAGATTTACCATAAATCCTTAGCCCCTTCTTATCTAAAGTCAAACTCCCTGATACACATATTGTAGGTTCTGGTACATGTCATATTATTTTGGATTGGTATAAAATGTTTTCTTATCAAAGTCCCTGATTTGACAGCTAAAAATAAAACTCTAATAATGATCATTGTGTTTTCATTTGTAAGCATTTATGACAAAAAGTAATATATGTCAGTAGAACTCATTCGTTTCTGGTGACAGAAGCATGCTGCATGTAGTTACATGAAGCATAAATTATCTGTGGAGAAGCTACACACATCTAAAAAGCCTAGCACGTTTTGATATCTGTGCCTTAGTCCATATCAAAAGGTAAGTTTCTAGTGAAGACCCCATCATTGTAACTCTTACACAGCATATGGCCTACAGAAAAGTCAGCTGATGATGACTGAACAAAATACTGGCAAAACAGAGACGAGATAAGCACTGATCTTGATAATCAAAAGTCTAAAAAGCAAGGTCTAATCTACTTTTCTTTCTGTTTTTTTGGTGAAGCTAGTTAAAAGCTCCACAGACTGCAGGACTTGGTTACTATGCCTTCCTCTCATACTCATTTCTTATAAAATGAGTTTGTATAACAGCTATCAAAACAGTCAAACATTTTACAACAGCTTGTACTCATAAAGTTGAAAAGCATTTATGAGCTACTGTATGCTGTTATGATTCCACATTGAAGACTATTCATGTGCGTCTACATCTAAGACACTGACCACAAGTAAAGCAAATGAGACAGTGGCAATAAAGGAGACATTTTAAAGGTTTACAGTAGCTTCACAAGAAACCCGTAAACGCTATTAGGGTAGCATGGAAAAATATTAACAGATCTTTCTTGCCACACTAAAAAGATTTTGGTTTTCTTTTTCATTAGAAAGCTTGGGCAAGATTTTGGGGAAATTTTAAGAGATTTAAGAGAAATTTTATGAGATTAAGAGAAGAAAAGGAGGAACATGAAGGGCCTCACCTGTTGTTGCGTAGCTGGGACCCCGACTGTGAGGTTGAAGGGGAATGGCTGCGTGGTGTGGGGGAAGGGGTGGTGGATACACCTGTGGTCACAGTCTTCATGGAACCAGCTGAAGGAGGGGGTAAACTGGAGGCTGGGTTTCGCATGTAGGCACGGTTTGACGTGGACACCAGCTGAGGTGGTGGGCGACTGAAGTCTTGAACAGAGGAAGATGTATGGAATCCTGTAGGCTGATTGAGCCAAGGAGACTGTCTCCAAGAATTGGATCTTGGTGAATCCAGGTTATCTAGAGATTCACCTCTGAAACATAATAAAGGATTCATCAAAATAGGCATGATATAAATTTATTTAATAAATTACTAAAAAAACAGTTGCCATCCAGTGGACGCCAACTCATGGCAACCTCATTTGTGTCAGAGTAGAACTGTGATCCACAGGGTTTTCAATGGCTGATTTTTCAGAAATAGATCACCAGGCCTTTCTTTCAAGGTGCCTCTGAATGGTCTCAAACCACCAACTTTTTGGTTAGTAGCTGAGCACATTAAGCATTTGCACCACCCAAGGACTCCAACATATCTTTACAGTTGCTAAAATACCCATTTTAGATATTTTGTAAGCAGGTATTAAATAAAAAATCTACTTACATATAAAATCACCTTGAACAAGAAAAGTTTCTCATTAGAAAAGTTTCTCATTAGAAACATCATGATGTTTCACATTTCAATCAACCTCCATTTATTTTTATTTTTAATTACTTGGTACTTAAATAAAGAAGCCCTGGTGGCACAGTGGTTAAGAGCTCAGCTGCTAACCAAAAGGTGAGCAGTTTGAACCCACCAGCCACTCCTTGGAAACCCTATGGGGTAGTTCTACCCTGTCCTATAGGGTTGCTAAGAGTCAGAATAGGCTTGACAGCACAGGGTTTGGTTTGGTTGGTTTAGGTAAATACCAACCAAAGTTGGGGGGAGGGGAAATCTATGAAGAAAAATCTTAAAAAACAAAACTAAACTAATGCTAAAATTCAGAAGATAGCCATTCATCCTTTAAATATTCAACAGTTTAGATATATCAGGCTTAAAACTCTTTTTAAACCCCAACCAAAAAAAAAAAATTTTTTTTAAGCACTTACATATGCCAGGTTTTAGGCTAGATACTTTCACAAAAAATATTAAACTTATTTAATCCTCACAACACTATATAGAATTGTTCTCAAGTATCAGAGAAATTCTGTAACTTGCCCATAATAAAACAGCTAGCTCAAGCCATGCCTACTATGTGATCTTCATTCACTCACCAACCAAAACCATCAATTTAGACAACTGTTGAATTTCACGTTGTGAAGAAATCACAGACCACTCGCTTAAACTAAATATGCATTAAAACAGGATTTAGCTTACAAACTGACTTAAATATAACTTTTTGAAAAAGATCTCTTAAATACATATTAAAAATATCAATTAATACTCATACTTAAAAATATCTCAATACTCATCTACAAAAACTAACTGAATTATTTTTCCCTTACATGGGCAATTTTGTTATTGTTGTTTTTAAAAATTTCTTAGCCCAGGTTTGAAAATTTTGTTTTCCTTTTAAAATTATAAAAGTAATATATTATCATGTTAAAAAAAATACAAGCAGTATAGAAGGGTATCTGAGAAAGAGATAAGAGTCCTCCCTCTCTTACTTAATGAAACTCACCTGCCCTAATTCCCAGAGAAATTAACCACTGTTAATTCTGTATCCTTTGGGCCTTTTCTCACATACAGAAGCACATATTTACATATACATACAAACTTACATAAGTAAATATAACCATCTCTATATACATATGTAAGAGTCATGTATTTAACATATTTAAAAATACAGGATTATTCTACAACACATATTCTTCAGTAGCCTGCTTTTTTCCACTAAACATATATTACTTGAAACTCTTTTCCTATCAGTTTAGAAGACAGACTGGACTTTGGTGGCCCCCAATGAACCATGCACCCTGGTATTCATGCGCTTGTGTAGTCCGCCCCACTGACTCTGGCCCTGGCCATGTGACTAACTTTGGCCAATGGGGATCAGCAAGCATGATGCAAAAGGAGGTTTAATAATCTCTTGCATATTGGGGCTTGCTCTCCTGGAAGGGTTCCTCTCTGGATCCATGCCATGCCATGGGGCAGCCCAAGCAGCTATGTAGAGACCCCACCCATGTGGAGAACAGAGGTTCCCAATCAACAATAGGTGACCTCCCAGTAAAGCCTCTAGATTAGGGGTCAGCAAATTACAGGCCACAATAGGGTCTGTGTGGCCCTGAGCTAACAATGTTTCCTTACATTTTCTAAGAGTTATTTAAGAAAAAAAATTTAAAAAGAAGAAGCATATTATGACAGAGACCTATGTGGCCTACAAAGTCTAAATTATTTACTATTTCCTTTACACACAAAAAAAAATTGCCCATATGTGCTCTAAATGATTGCAGCTACCCAAATACCCTAGCCAAGCAGAAAAAAGTGCCCAGTTAACCCACAGAACTGTGAGAGATAATGAATTGTTTAAACCCACACATTCAAGGCAGTGTGTCTCTTTCATTCTTTAAGGGAAAAAAAACAAAACAAAAAAACCATCACCATCGAGTCAATTCTGACTCGTAGCTACCTTAGTGGTGTGCCACTATTTATTTAACTAGTACTCAGCCTGTTAACCAGTTGCCTTCAAGTTAATTCCAATTCATGGCCACCCCATGTGTGTCAGAGTAGAACTGTGCTCCATAGGGTTTTCAGTGGCTGATTTTTTGGAAATAGATCACCAGGCCTTTCTTCTGAGGTACCTCTGGGTAGACTTAAACCTCCAACTTTTCAGTTAGCAGCCAAGCATGGTAACCATTTGCACTATCTCTTAATAATAGAAACTGAAATTATATCTTCTTTTTTTCTTTTGTTATTGCCAATAATTTTTCAAAGAACATACTTGGGCACCATATTTTCACGCAAATAGAACATGCCTTCTGTTTGTTTGGTGACCACACCCCGCACCCCTCCCCACCGGCCCCTGTGAGGTATCTTCATAAGTGCTGCTATGTCAATTTTTTTAACATGCTGCTCTAAAAAAATTAGCATAGCACGCTTATGAAAATGACTCATGGGGGAAGGCATGGTTGGCAAACAAACATAGAAGGTGCACATTATTTGCGTAAAAATACAGTATATCTTTGCAAAATTGTCCAAATATATATAGAAGATAAAATGCTAGAAAATTAAATTACTCACAGGGTACAGGCATCTAAACTTTTGCTAAATACATACTGAAAAACTGTCCTATTTCCTCATACAATTGTCAATATTAGGTTTAATCAATCTTTTAACTCTCTAAAAATCCGATCGGTGAAAGAGGTGTATTGCTGCTGTTTTAGGAGTAGTGCTGAGCATGTTTTTCTATCTTTATTGCCTGTTTATATGAACTGCCTGTTTATATCACTTGTCTATGGTTTTATAAAGTTGCTGCAGTTTATTTACCAATTTATAAAATTTATTTGTATATTGAGATAATTAGCCCTTTGTCATGCATTGTACATAATTTTTCCCCAATTGTTTCTCAGCTATGGAAATACTGATTCAGGGTAGATGCAACATTTCACTTTTCCAAGACACGTCTTTTAAAATATCCATCTACTTATATCCAATTAATTTATATCTACATACTTAACCTTCTTAACGTTACAAAAATTAGGTTTTCACACTTTGTGAACACTATTATCATTGATTCCAACCTAACCATTATCTCATTATATAAGCAAATATTATTTTTGTAATGTTTAGCAGCCAAGAAAACACTAAGAGCACCATAAGTTATTTAACTGTCTGAATCCCACTTCAGAGTGTAACATCCAGGTTTGCGACTTATTAGCCATGTGGTTTTGGCCAAGTGTCTTTCCTGCTTGAGCCACAGTTTCCCCATATGGAAAAATTGAATAACTGTCCTTGCCCTAAAACATATTCCCCAGATTAAGTGAGATGGTGCAGACAAACCAATCAGCAAGTGTCTGGCACATAAAAGGTGCTCAGTGACATTTGCTCTACTTCCTTTTCTTCCCCTAAACCTTAGGTAACTAGGACCAGAAATTACGATGACATCCCTTCTGCCCCAAACACTCAGAATGCCTAAAATTCATCTGTCTCATAGTCATACAGAGCCCCCACAGTACTGTATTCTCTACCTGCTTCCTGTCCTACAGTGTTGTATTGAAAAATCATTTCTTCTACGGCTCCCCTCTTCCCACTAGCTTTGCATCTGAATCTGGCCTTTGCCTGGAGGTTATATGTAAACCCCATTTCGCCTGCGTAGTATGATTAAGAATGTTGCTGACATAATTTCTATGAACTCCCTACTTGTAAATCCCTTTAAAAGTAACTTGCCTGGAAAATGGCGCTCTAGGCAGAAGAACCATGCCGTCCCTCCAAAGCAAAGATCTGAAAAACTAAGCCGAACAGAGAATACAACAATCCTGAAACCCTAAAACATCAAATGAAGAGATAAAGAACTCAGCCAAGCACCAAATGGACTGAGAAAACTGACAGAGAACCGAGAACGAGGAGAGATCGTACCAGCCAGATACCAATCTAGGAAATGAACTCCCGAGGACTATCCAAAACCAAAAGAAATACAACAGGGAATCAGAGCAGTTAATCAGTAAATGACAACAACATCAAAACAATAAAAGAAGGAATAAATGGCATGGGTATAGAACCTTCTAATGGAGAAGAAGGCAAGGCGATACCAAGTAATGGTAGACTGCTTCAAACTTAGAATTCATGGTAACCACAAAGAAAGTTAACAAACATACTCATAAAAAAAAAAAGAGGAAAAACATAAAGTCTCAGCAAAAACAAAACCTACAAAAACAAAAGAAAT